ACGCATTGCATTGCATTGTTGAGTGTTGGAAATACCCGGGCATTATATATGTCCTTTGAGGTTTTTTGCTTGTGGGGTTGGTGTATCTTTTATTATTAGAATGCTTTCATGGGTTCATTGAAGGCGGTCATACCCTGCCGTCAAGTCCAAAGTTACATACCAATATCAGAACTTGACCCCTAAACTGGAGTCCTCGCTTCACACTTGGACTCAAAACGCATACAACTCGCCCAAAGCAAGATATCTCCCGTCACTCCCCAACCAACCTCAGCACCCGAATCGCATTCCCCCCCATGACCTTCTCCGCCGCCTCAGTCCCCTCCCCAAGCGCCCTCCCAACAGCCTGCGCATTAAGACTCACACTCTCCCACTCACCCTGCTCATCTGTCCCCAAAGGCGGAAAAAACGGATGATCCGTCCCAAACATTAATCTCTCCAGCCCTCCTCCTCCTCCTCCTCTTTCTCCCCCCGACGACGCAGCAACAGCCGCTTGAACCCCTACATCCGAGTAAACCACCGCATCCAAGTAAATCTGCGTGTTTAAAACTTCCCATAGCGTCCTTCTCTTCTCACCACCAGTCTTTTGTTGCTGGCGGCTAAAAAGATGCCCATCATGCGCAATACAACTCTCGATCCTGCCTGCAAGGAACGGCAAAGTCCCCCCGCTATGCGCCAGTATGATCTGGAGAGTCGGGATGCTGTCAAATACACCCGCCAAAAACATGCGTGTCACCGCGATGGTAGTCTCCATCGGGAACCCGAGAGCAAGAGGCAACACATGCCCGTATTCAGCCTGTCGCGGGCCGTAGACTTGATTCGGCAGGCCGTAGTGCGGGTGCAAAAAGATTGTGAGGTTTTTCTCTGCCAGCGCCGAGAAGATAGGGAGTAGGTTTGGGTCGTCTAGTCCGCTTCCGAGGCCTGACGTTCCGAGGATCACGCCCCTGCAGTACGGGGTCCGCGAGAGGTTGTCTATGCAAGATTGTATCTCGCTGGTTGGGGCGGTTAGGGGCAGGGTGCCGAAGAAGTACAGCCTCCCCGGGTGCGAGGCGCACATGTCGGAGAAGGAGGTGTTTGTTTCTTTGGCGACGAGGGGCGCCTCGGCGGGGGACAGAAAGTCCAGCCAGGGGTTGGCGAGGGAGAGTACGGATATGGCGATCTTGTGCGTGTCCATGAAGTGTATCTTTTGGGCGAGGGAGGAGTAGTGTCTTGTTAGGGGGCGGCCTGGGATGATCTGGTTTGAGCGAGCTGGGTTGGATTCTGCTTCGAGGAGGAGAGGGACCTCGGACGAGAGGAGGATCAGCCGCGGATCTTCTGGGGAGGCCGGAAAAGTCCTGACTAGAGGGATTTCCGTCCGGGATCTGAGCATCGAGACGTAGGAGGGCGGATACATGTGCGTGTGGATGTCTACTACTGCCGCCGCTTTTGGGGGTGATGGTTGAGACATAGTGTTGATGTTGATGTTGAGACGAGAGACAGGTGGTCAGATCTGGAGAACAAGGTAGCAGCAAGGCCGAATTATATCCTCAACTGTCAAGAATTTACTTGGGAAATATCTCGAGCGTCGTTGTCCTCGTGTCCCGCAAGGTGCATGCCAAGACCCGTGATCCCTATCGGACGACCCCGCCCCCTCTGTCCGATCATTTTGCAGGGATTGAGCCCCGCATGTCTTCCTTATCACTTACACGCCTCTTATCTCTGTGGGCCTCATCAAATGGAGGGTTGCTGGCCAGTAAGGTCGCTGAAACACGCCTGCTATCAAACCATCGTTGCATGTTGACGAACGTCCTGTGATGATGGCCTGCCGTATGCGGACATGGTGCCGCCAGTTATCGGGCTTGTGAGTGGCTTGACAGCGGACAAAGACGATGCCTTATCCCCAGTCCCGCGTGTAACGGTGTAACCTCAGGTCACGGTAGCTTTGTTGGTGAACTTGAACTCTTAGATAACAGTCATTTGACATCGCATCGTCGGTGCCTTTCTCTCCTTCAAGACCTTTGCAACTCCTTGCCCCAAGATGGAGAAAGCAGCAGTGCAAGCAGACGGGCTCCTCATTCCGGTAGGAACCATCACTAAGCTTCCTTGCACATACTGAGCTTGACCTGACACCTGCGCAGCTGATAGACTTTGGCAATTTCCTCAACGGCGACGAGACCCAAAAGCTAGAAACAGCCAAAGCAATCCTCCACGGCTTCCAGACAGCCGGCTTCATCTACCTCAGCAACATCCCCATAACACCCCCAACCCGCGCCCACGTCTTCAATGCATCGGCCAACTTCTTCAAGCTCCCCCTCGAGACCAAGCTCTCCCACGGCTGGACAACCCCCGAAGCCAACCGGGGCTACTCGGCCCCAGGTCGGGAAAAAGTAACCCAACTAACGGACATCTCCGAGGTCTCAAAGATGCGAACCTCAGCCCCGGACATCAAAGAATCCTTCGAGATAGGCCGCGACGACGAGTCAGGCCATCCAAACCAATGGCCCCCTGAACGAGACGACCTGATCGGGTTCAAATCAACAATGACCTCCTTCTTCGACCAGTGCAAGTCCCTCCACCTGGACGTGATGCGCGCCATCGCGGTAGGCATGGGCCTCGACGACCACAACTACTTTGATACCTTCCTCGACGTGGGCGACAACACCCTTCGTCTGCTGCACTACCCGGCGGTAGACAAAAAGGTCTTTAAGATTAATCCAGGCCAGGTGCGCGCGGGCGAGCACAGCGATTATGGCTCCATCACGCTGCTTTTTCAGGACGAGAGGGGCGGGTTACAGGTCAAGAGCCCCAATGGCCAGTTTGTGGACGCTACGCCTATCGAGGGGACTTGTGTGGTCAATGCGGGTGATTTGTTGGCTAGGTGGAGCAATGATACTATCAAGAGTACTATCCATCGAGTTGTTGAGCCGCCGTCCAAGACGGACAGGGATATTCATCCGCCGAGATATAGTATTGCGTAAGTTTGTGGACAAGAAGGCTGGTGGTGGTGGTGATGGTGAATGCTGACTGACTGATGAATTTAGGTACTTTTGCAATCCGAATTCCAAGGCTTATATCGAAGCTATACCGGGCACATATGCCACCGAGGCAGAGAAAAAGTATCATGGTATCAACAGCGGGCAATATCTTGTGCAGAGACTGGCTGCTACGTACTGATCGGATGATTTTCTAGCCATGACTTGTGATTCCAAATGAACATTGGGGTATTGTAAAGGTGAAAGGAAGTTGAGCAGGTGTAAAGAGATATTATCAGTAACGCCAAGACGACCAGTTTCTCAGGAAAATTAAGCCCCTCAATCTATAACTAAACCACGATGCAAAATGAACATGGCGGTGAGAGAACTCGGTGTAAAAACCAGGAGTAACTGGTAAAAACAACTAACAATATTATAAAGAGCCACTGATATACCGTGACCAAGTCACTGAAATTCCCTAAATTTTAACGTGAATAGTCCTGGAAAGAGACATTGAGTGAGAACCTTGACGACTGCAGTGGCCATGAGGTGGCCCCACCACCCCACTATTTTCCTCTCTTGCATACTGGAAACCAAGACCCCTGCCCATTTTTCACGACACCATCAACAACAACCAAACCGCTTCAAAGTCAACCACTTCACACCCAACCCCAAGCCAAAATGCCAGACGAAGACCTCATCACCTACGCGAGCGCCTGCGCCTCCCGCAACGAGGACCTCTTCGCCCTCCTCAGCGTAGACGCGACAGCCTCGGAATCCGAAATCCGGCGCGCATTCCGCAAAAAAGCCCTAACCGCCCACCCCGACAAGGCAGGCTCGTCCTACGATCCAGCCTTGTACACGCGCCTCGAAAAAGCCCGCGATGTCCTCATCTCCCCCGAGGCACGAGAGGCCTACCAGAATGGCATGCGCGCCATCCTCCAGAAACAGCAAGCCAAGGATGCCATGTCGGCGCGACAGCGGCGCTTTGCTGAGGATCTCGAGGCGAGGGAGCAAGCTGCTGCTGCTGCTGCCAGCAAGAAACAAAAGACCGGAGGCGGGCAACAACAAGAACAAGAGTTGAGTGCAGAGTTGCAGGCTAGTCTTGCGCGGGGACGGGCTATACTGGAGGAAAGGAATCGAAAAATCCGCGAGGCGGAGGAACGGGAACGGTTGCGCAAAGAGAGGGAGGACAAGGAGATGGAGGAGAAAGAAGCTGACCTTGAGAGGCGGTTAAAGGAGATTGAACGGCGCAAGGCCGAGAAAAAGAAGTTGAGAAAGGCGGACAAGAAGGACAAGAAGAATGATGCCAAGGTGGAATTGTCAGGATCACGAGGGGCATCGCCGCCGCCGCTACAGGCAGGGAAAGAAGAAGAAGGGCAGACGGGTACAGCTGCTCCTCCAACGGACAATGAGGATACAGCGCCGGGAGGTGGTGGATTCCCTGCGCTGATGGCGAGGTTAAAGGCTGCGCAGGCCAAAAAGGAAGAGGAGAAGAAACGGCGGGCTATGGAGGAGGCGATGAAGGCATAGAGCGAGGAGTATTGAAACATATTTTAGGTGCCTAATACGCGTTGAATATCTTTTTGGAGGCATGGAGCGAGAAAGATGGAGGCATATTAGTTGAGCGAGATGGGGCATCTTTTCTACTGCCTGGTACGCATATTAGCGCATCGGTTGGTCGGGTCTGGGAAATTTATTGATACCCCCTTTATTCTGCTTAGACTAGACCATAGATTTGGTCTGAATACATAGCCCTGGAACGGGAAGAAGCTGTGCTCTTCTTGGAGCTGCTCGAAAGATAGATTTGTCGCCTGTGTGGGAGTGTATCAACCAACCTATGATGATGATGGTATGTAAGCCAAAAGTTCAAGTGGCATGCCACGGCCTCGGAAGATATCCGGCGAGCAAGTTTGAGAAAGATTTGCAAAGAAACAAAACTATATTCAGGACTCGCAGTATATGCCAAATGTGTAACTGGTACTACGACAGATAGATGAAGTACCAGTTGCACATCTGGCACATAGCGGGAGCCCTGAATGTAGAAATTCTAGGTCGTGCCCGGGTTCGAACCGGGGTTACTGGAAGGCTTGTGAGGAAAGTGTGCCTCAAAATCCAGAGTGATAACCACTACACTACACAACCTTGACATCTGATTGTGATTCCTATCCTAATTATCATGTGCCTCGGGAGGCCGAGACAGGCTAAGATGTGTATCTAGAGTCGGGGATAGGACCGGTTGCCGGTGGCGTGTTTAAAGTTGGGATATATCTCTACATGATCTTCCTGTCGCCTTACAGCCGTGCCTCTGATTCATTAATGTGATTCAGCCAATCCATCATGTCGATATTATTGAGCTTGAGCTTGGCATCTTCATCTCCGGGTTGTGCTATCCCATTCGACTCATTCCCTAATCCTCTCCTGTCATCAAGAAACCCCCACTGTGTCTGCAGACAAGGCCGATATCTCAAGCCAATACCTGCCTTCCCCTCTCCAAAGTTTACTTAAGCGGTGTAACCAACATCTCGCACCTCAAGCACAAACCATGCGAGATAAACAAACCCACGGCCAGACGGGCATGTCAAGGGGCACAACCCAAAGAAGACATGAATGAGCAAGTAGTATCCAACTCTCATCGACGTACAGAACGCAAAAAGTAACAAAAGCCACATGGCAACCCCGAACGACATGAACCTGAATGAGGCTTGAGTGACACAAGCAACATGTCGGCCACGTGGGAACCGGTTTGGTAGCCTGTATTACAGACTGAGTAAGGGGCGACGACAGACTAGGTAGCAAGATAATGCATGTCTTGAGCCTTGAGATTCTTCTGGGATTCACCCTTCTCGATCGATCGGGAGAGGGCTCTCTCGTTCTCACTTTTCGCTGTCACACACATACTTGGTGTATGTGAAATTGCCATGTGGAATTTTGTCTCTGTGCCGCTTGAAGTGCCGAACCCACGTGGGAACAAATGATCGTTCCTGGCTGGCTATATACACACTCTGAGATGGTGGATGAAATGTGCGTATGAGTGGTCAATATGAAGAGAGACAGAGGTGAGGCAGGGTGCTTAGTAGGTAGTCCCTTCGCAACGCTATGTTACAGGACGAAACTTGCTTCTTCAGTCGTACACTAGATATGCAGTTCTCTGCATATTTCCCCACGTGCTGTGAGTTGAGATGAAGACGCAGAGGCTATGAAACTTATCTACGATGCAAAGCAAGCAGGCTCCAGCTCTACGGGCCTATCAGAATATCAACACAGGTATCAAAACGAATGAAATGATGAGTGAGAAAACGCCTCAAACGCACGCCCAACACAACCAAGCCAATTACATGATTCTGTTACGATTTGAAGTCAGATTTTCTCACTTTCTCTCTCACAATTTTCTTTCAACAAGATGCAAGACGATAAATCCCTTGTTTGGGGACCCTGCATGTCAGAATCAGGGCAAGTCGGTCCCTCCCCGCCATTTCCCTCGTGGCATTCGCGTGGCATTTTCTGCGAACTGCCATGGTGTATGCCTGTTCCCGTAAGATCTACACCTTTTGAGTCCTCTGCTTGTTGCCTCGATCATGTCTCTCCCCCCCTCTCTCATTCGGAACACTTTCCCTCGTGGCCTTGACGCACCCTCACGGCGGCACCGTCTGTCCGACCAAGACATAAACTGCAAGGGGCGGCCAATGAGTAGAATAGTGACATGTTTGGATTTCTTAGCTAGAGAAGGTACGGTTTCCAAGGCCTTCAAGATGTATCTCCTAGTTAGTTGAAGTACCAACCACCTGTCTATGCCAGCAAGACAGGCAGATGAATTTCACTTGCACTTACTTCACTCGCTCCATCCATCCCATGTCCGGCATAGATGTAAGAAATAATGGAAGATGGAAGGAGCAATTAGCTGCAGCTTTGATACAATATCGATGCTTACGGACGGACGCTGAACCCAAGCCGACGGACCTTCCTGGCCTCTGGTTGAGACAAAGAGGCACACCGGACAGACAAGTGCCACGTGGGGAAAACGTGGTTCTTGACCAAAGTGCCCGAGACAGGCATGCCATGATGGGCACGTAGATAGATGGATTTGGGTGTGATGTGATACCAGACTGCCGGACCGATCCCAGAGGGTGCTTCTCATAATTAGAAGCTAGGCACATACCCGCCTACCTACCTAGGTACGTACATGCCTCGGTAGAGCAAACCAACATCAAGACGGTCTCCCTGACGTTCAAGTCGGCCTTCCGAGTGAAGAAAGAAGAAGAAGAGAAAAAAGGCAAACCCAGAGCTGAAATCTACGGAGCTCGAGGACTAATAACGTAAAATCACCCCGCTCCCCGGCAAACGCAAGCACCAACCCGTATAAGAGATCGGGTTATACAAAACAAACGACAAGGAGTCTCCTACAAGTAGTAATATCCAGCCGGCCGGTAACCATCGCTAATGACATCAACCCCGATATGGGTATTGTTCAGGGTCCATACGACTCCAGTCCGTATCCAATTACAAATACTGGAAAGCCCCCTCCCACGGGGGGGCAGTACATACAGTACTAGTAGTACCATGGACACGATCTAGGGACGTATATCTTATACGTCCAATCCCGGTTGTCTTGGTCCCCTGGTCCTCGTATCTATCGGCTCCTTGCATAATGTCGTACGTACCTGGCGGGAGTAGCACGGGGCAAGGCAAGGGGTAACAAACAACAAAGGGATACCCGGGCCATCGGGACTCACTGCCGCTCGCTCATGGGTCGATGCTCGATTTGTATTACTAAAGTCTACAGCACTTGGTCTTTGGCTCCGTATCTTACCTGAACTTGATTGCGTATTGAGTGTTACCAGCAAATGCCAGGGACAACGAGATGCAGTGCCTTGATTTATTCCCCGTACTGTCTCCAGTCTACCCTTAGGTTCAGGGGCGGCCCCTTTACTAATACGTCACTAAACATGATAATTCCAAGGCTTTTATATTACCGTTTGTTGTTGTCTCCCATTTGCTCACTTATGTCGCAGTCCCTTTGTCAATCCCAGAACCTCACATGGATGAGGTCAAGTCCAAAAGCAAAAAAAAAAAAAAGCCGAATCGGACATGTCCATCTCGACCTAAATCCCGAAAATGAGTGCGTCAAGATGCAAAACCCGGGGTATCATCCCGACTTGCGAGCTCACCCGGGGAACGGAACGGACACACACCTTCGACCGCCGGACTCTCGGCGATTGGGAACATGAGTGACTGACTGACTGACCAGTTGGGTTTGTCTGAACCAGGTTGGCAGATGATCTGACTGGATGACAGTGGCCAAGATGAATGATGTGCTGGTCCAGCTGGACTGCTGATAGGTTGGTTGGGCTTAGAAATCTTCATCAGGTCCCTTCGAAGATGGTGGGTGGAGATAAGATAACCATCCATTCATCGATGTTCGGGTCCCCACAGCGTCCGCACCGCCCGAGTTGTTCCCAGATCCCGAGTTTGTCCATACCGAGTGAGTGAGTAATCCGGTCCCCTTGATTTTAGCATTTCTTCCGCCTGGATAAATCCGGGCTGCGAAAAGTGCTACAGAAACGTCCGACAACCAGATGAAGCGGTCAACAAAGTAGCAACCCAGTCCTGTCCCGAGATTTACGACAAGCCAAAATGCCAAAAGGCATTGGCCGGTGATGAAAGGCGCAGCGCATATACACAGAGTCATAGAAACGAAAAGAAAAAACAAAAAAAAGCTCATCAACCAAGGTAATCCTGCGTACCGGTCAAAAAGATGCACATCTCAGGAGGCAGGCTGGCTGGTTACGTTAGGCGTTTACATTTGTACCTACATACCAACCTCGTCCTCAGCTCTACATACTTACTGGCTACCCCGTCCGTCTGTAAGCTGATGCTCACTTGTTTCGAGTAAGAAAAAAAGGAAATTTGAAATGATGCAGTGTTTGACAAATCGTGGTGGGGGGAGAAGAACGAAGAATCGGTGTGGGGTCATGATTGCTGCTGCGCCGCGAAGAAGCGTCCTTCTCTTGCATAAGAATATGCAGAGAAGGTTTGGAATGTTGCCCTTCGAGAAGGTTTCCATTTTCGTTGCCTAGGGCGCTTTTCCCGCGTTTGATGCCATTTTCTTTGGGTGCATGTTTGCTTCGCCAGCGCCCATCTATGCACGCCCTACGAAGTGGTTCTTTTTCTTCTCGAGACGTGACGATGTCGGAATATGGAACCGACTACACTAGTCTGGGGCAAGATGAGTCCTACGGTATGCTGTCATGGACGATGAGACAGGTCGACCATGTCCTTTGCTTGCGTCGCCGGAGGAACTCGTCCGCGGCTGTGTGATGTTAACTTGGAATGGCGGTAAAGAAAGCTTCGCTCAGCTTTGATAGCAGTAAGTTCCATGATGTTTGGTGCCTCCCCCTTTCTAGGGCAATACCTGGTTTGCCAAGGAGTATCTCTCCTGCGTAACGAAAGAGAGCGAGTAATTGCGTAATGCACTCGTCGTTTGTGTGCCTTCAATGCCTTGAAATGCTGGTGGTTCTGTAGGAATGACTGAGTACTCTTCCTGAACAACATGTGGAAGCCGTGAATGTGTCAATTGGTTGCTGAACCTGCTTTCGTGCAGTGCATAGGAGCACCGTGTAAGTTGATTGGTTGGTTAGCGACTCCGAGTCCGGCACCCGCGGAGATATCTGGCGATCTCTCGGTGCACATCGGTGGTTACCAATGACAGGGACCAAAAGTCGGTGCCTGAACAATTCATATTATCCGTATCCCGTTGCTTAACACATGCTGCATTTCGCTCAGGCCATACTTAGGTAGTGCAGTGTAATGGCAGCGTAGGAAATGCAGTGCAGTCGGATACCAGTATCAGCCTCAGGTTAACGTTGCTTCCAGTGCCAAGCTCCTCCCTACTCGGCGCTCATCCGCACACAGCCTTGCGTACAACGTGTATGATCTTGGCCATGTTAAGCGAGTGATTCTAAAGCATTTGAGCTCCCTAGGCAGTGTTTGGTTTGCGGTGTATTCTCGTGACACTCGTCAAGATCTCAATAGTCCCGATTCATGTTCGTGTTGTTGATGTGCTCGGCAGTCACAGCAGACTATTTTGTGGCTGAGCTCATATGATGGCGGTCTGATACCAGCTGCACCCATCGGGACGGGACCTC